CAGTCCATCCACTCTCCTCTGTCATTGTCATGCTGAAAGAATTTGTTTCTTCCCGTGTAGCATTGTCCAATAGAAATATTGATATAATGGGAGCCACATGTGTGGTTTTTCTAGTAGCCACATTAAAAGTTAAGAGAAATGAAATTAATTTTGTGTGAAATTAATTTTAATTATATATTCTTATTTAACCTAACATATTTAAAACATTATCATTTCAACATGTAATTAATATAATTATTGAGTTATTTTACATTCTCAAAAAAATTATTTTTACTAGGTCTTCAAAATCTGGTGTGTATTTTACAGTTATAGCGCTAGCCACAATTCAAGTGCTTAATGGCCACATGTGACAGTGGCTACCATATTGTACAACGCAGTTATAGACATTCTGTCACTCAACTTTTTGAAACAACCTCTCCTGGCCCTCCTCCTGCCTCTCTCCTCAGTGTACTCCCCTCTGCTTGCTCCTCCAGCCCCTTCCATGCCATTGGTCCTCGGGATCTCACCTGTGGCCTCTCCCAGATTGAACTCATACATCCCACCCATTGGCTGGTGATTCCCAGGGTCACATCTCTGACTCCTGCCTCTCAACTAAACTTCCGACTAGTACAGCCATCTCACAGATGTCCAAAGCTTGACATGCCAAAACCGAACTCATTATCTTCCCTCGTAAACCACCTCCTTCTGCCTTGGTTGATGGCATTCCATCCACCCAGACGTCTGAGCCAGAAAACTGGTATTGCACTGGTTTGCTTTTCCTACTTCATCCCCAAAGACAATCAATTACAAAATGCCGTGAAGTCTGTTTCACCAACATTTCTTTAAATATTCTTGTTTCCTTCTCCACAACCACTGTGCTAGCTCTTCATTTCTCCCTTGGATGACTGCAGTGACATCCTCTTGCCCACCTTCACTCTTAGTTCCTGCCACTCCATCCTTTATGCCCTCAGTCTTTCACCAAGATAATTTTATATTCACCTAAAATGTCCAAGTCTAGGACTATATCCCCATTTTAAAAACAAAAAGGCCGTGTTAGAGGCTTCAGTCGAGCATTTTCAAGACGGCAGGTGTCTTTCAGGGGATCCCATGGTTCTCCCGCCTTGATGCCTTTCCCTCAGCTCTGCTTCACCACTGAGCATCTCTGTACATGGTTCTGGAAGGACTAGGAATACACTTAACAGAATCCAGCATCCTTCATCTTGATAACAGAGAGGCCCATGGCTTTGGGACATTCCCTAAACCTGGATTTTGTACTAGTCCAGTGATTGTTAATCTCTCTCTCAAGTCACAGACATCTTTGAAAATCTAATTGAAATGTGCCTCCTTTCCCTAGGAAAATGTACATGTGCAAACACAACTTTGTATGAGTATTGGGGCTCACCGAAGTCCATCCATGGGGTGATAGATCTTGCTGGAGGACAGTTCTAACACAGGCTCAGATCATGTACTGGTTCCCAGCTAAGACCAGGATCAAGGGTAGCTGGTTTCCCAAGACATTTTGAAAACTCTTGGAACATTTTATGGCACACTTTGGAATCTGAAGAAAGCTATGTTTCTTCCAAGGACACTTTGAACGTCTGACTAACACCACTGAAAACTATTTCAAACTTGCATTTCTTAGCCAAGTGGAACTGAGTTCACCCACACCCCTCTTTATAGAAACTGCTTGGAATGACTTTCTCACCGGCTCTCCAAACCTTACCTGCCCCCCCACCCCAGTTGGCTCTCACGTTGCATTTACCTTGTGTCGCAATTGACTCTCATAACTTCCTTCGTTGTTTCAGGAGCTTCCCTGAGAGCCTTGGCCCTGACCCTTCCTACACATCTTGAGTCATCGTGTGTTCTGTTCCACCCCTTACTCTGCCAGCCCAGCACCTTGTGGGGAGGGGACAAGGATGGGCAGATACCCAGGCATTGGACACCCTTGGGGGCCTTGGCAGGGAGAGAGCCTGTGTAGGGTAACACTCCCCACATCTTCAGTTGAGTCTAAGCTTTTTCTTCAGCAGCCCAGCTGCTGGGCAGTGGGGTTTCAGCAGGGAGGGACCTTCTCCTGGTCCTGCCCTGCCCACAGAATGTGCTACCTGCTTCCACAGGGGAAGTAGGGGGGCAAGGTTGTGACTCCTCCCACGGGCACTGGAACAGGTTTGCCTTGTTTCTCAACACAAGCCACAAGCTTGAGTTCACAGGCCTCTCCCTGGGCTTTCTGCCTTTATTCTCTCTTCCCTGGCAGGTTCTGCTGTGCCAGAGCCCAGGCCTGTCCACTGCCCGCCCTCCTGATTATCTAGTTTGCTTGCTCTCTTGCCAGGATCCTCCTTAAATTTCTTGCCCAATGGAAGCTCTCCTTCTCCTTTGTGTCCCTGAATCACTCCAAAGCCCTGCTTGCCCCACCAAGCCCCTTTGTGTCTCTGCTCCTCCCACCTCACTCACCCTCCTGCCCTCCCAGCTCTTACCGTTGCTGGGTCTCCCTGCCAGCTCCAGCCGCACTCACTGTCTTCCTCACTCTCCCGCCCTGTGCCCACTGGGGACAACTAACTATAGAGAGTTTATTGGGCTGAAAAGTGAGTGAGTGTCCTCATGGCCTCCTCTTGTTCCCACCTCAGCAAAGCTTTTCAGAGTCACATTTTCGGCGGAATCTGAATCTGGAAGGATTTAGATCCACTGAAGAATGTTAAACCTCCAGTGTTTGGCTGTGTTTGAAATTTTTGGCAGTTCCTCCCACACCTGATGTTATGAGCACTGTTTATAGATGCCTGGAAAGAAGCCTTTAATACTTGTATTGTGTTTTAACTTGCTTTCCTTTGGAGGCAGGGAATTGTCAAGTAAGTATGCACACCACTCTGGAGAAAAGCACAGGTGTTCGGTGAACATCCGGTACTAAGTGTTCATGCAGAACCCACAACCGCGAAGGGTCAATACTTAAAATCCGCTCACTTTGCCACAATGCAGGTTTCTTCCCCTTGCTCCCCTCATCTTCAGTTTTGAAGCAGTACAGCTGTAAACGTATGCTTGTGAAATAAAAAACATTCCGAGATTGCTTTACTTTTCAGTTATTTTTTTTACTGAAAATCAAGGTGAAAAAAGCATCAGATTGCCTGTGTGTATATATACAGTGTCATGTATATATAAATACACGGTGTTTGTGCTTGTACGCATACTCTACATACACTGTATAATATATTAAATATTATACAACCTGTGTGTCCCCTGAAGACGAGCCCTGTGTTTAATCTCAAATTATGCCTTATGAACCATGCCATAGTTCTAGTGTCCTCTTGCTCTTATCACAGACCCTGGCTTGCTTTTGTCATACACTTAAATATTCTTAGGTGAAAGAAGAAACCCATGGATTTCATTTGAAAGTCCCACTAAAACAGAAGAAAGAGCAGATGTCCTGGGAAGCAGTAATTAATGCGAAGGAAGTGTCTAATTGTGCGAACTGGCATGCCCCCAGCCTCCCAATTTTGCTCAATTTGGTAGCGATGATGTCAGCCGGGGGTGTCGTTTTGCAGAGATGTGCTCTCTACCCATTCTTCGGTGGTGATTATAATACCATTTGGTCCAATTATCACTTATGATTACATAACATGTTTTGATTGAAGAGTTTCTGAGAAAATAAAGGTACCTTGTTTTCCCCTGCAAAGAAAAAAAAACCCCTGCAAGCTGTTCCAGCAGGCAAACTGACCTACCAAGAAACACTGGGAATTATTAGGCTAAATTATGAGTTGAAGTTGATTTGGAGACAAAGCACTCATTGTGTATAACTCCCAACAACATCCAGTAGGATGTCATTGTTTTTCTGACGAGTTTCTCCCCAGCACACTCCAAAATAAGCAGAGTCCCCAGGCGCATTCGTAAAGTCACAGAGAGTGTGCGGGAAGCATTGACAAGGCTTCCTTTTTTCTCCCTATTCTGTAGGCGCTTTAGTGCAGAGTTTGCCCAGAGACGCCAGGGTATGAGCTTTCTGAATTTGTAGACTGGTGCACTCTTTCCTTTCTGTTTTAGTTCTTTGCTGGCATGCTGGGGAAGCATGGTTTGTGCCACACAGGAATGTCTGTTCACTTGGAAAATGCTTGTGCATGACTGAAGTGGTTGCTAATGCTACTCTAAACTGTACTAAGTTTCTCACTTGGCTTTGTTTGCTGCTTACAAGGGGATCAAGGTAATCCTTTCTCTTTGCATATCCCAACAGCAATAACTAATGAATTTGGAACATGCAGTGGGAGCTGGAGCAGGTTTCCCCCATCCCTGGTTTCATAAACATTGAGAAGTCTGATTGTAGGTAACCCCACATCATAAGAATCGGCCTACTCATATGGGAGTCCATTAGAGCTTATGTATTACAAAATCTCAGCTAAATTTGCAGGCCCAAATCCCCAAAACTGAGAAGGAAAAAGCAACCTTTGGTATGACAGGAGCAGCTTAACATAGATGGTTGCTCTGAGGTACAGGGCAGAGTGGGAGGCAGGAGTTCTTTGTCTTCTATCCCTCTGCTGCCTTCTTGCCCTTTTGTGTAGCAAGGCCAACCTGTGCACATGGCACGTGGCCCTGAGGACCTGTTTCAAAGCCAGGCTTGTAAGTCTGGCTTCCCACCCCCCCTGTGATCTTGGACAACCTAGTTCTGAATAACATTGGCACATCCCTGTCTGAAAAATGGCCAGTGATTTCAGGAAATGTGGCCTCTTCCTTCTTGAGCTTAGGCTCCTCCTTGTTTTAAAACAAGCCCTCTGGCTTATGTGCTTCCAGCTCCCAGGATAAGCTAAGTACAGGGAGGAGGGGCTGACCCCGACTATGGCACCTTAGGTGTGGGGAAGCCCAGCTCAGTGTCTGTGAATCCCGGCCCATCTCGTGGGCCGTTAGTGTCAGCAGCTACTTTTGCAGGGGGTGGGGAGTGGGGAGGAGGGCAGGACAGAGCAAACCCAGGCGGAGGGGCCTGTGGGGCAAGCAGCCTCTGCCACAGCCATTGTTCAACACTCTGCTTCCCTGGCTGCTCTCTGTTCCAGGCCGCCTGTTAGCCGAGCAGCTCCCCAGCCTGAGAAACTCCAGAAGAACAACATCACCAAAAAGAAGAAACTGGTTGAGGTAAGAAGTTTAAACTATTTTGCTTTTAATCTGCTACTGTTGTTGTCAGAACTGCCTGGTGGACGTCACCATCTGCACGTCCCACAGATACCATCACGTGAACCTGCGTGGATCTATTGGTGCTCTCATCCCCCTCCCTTCTACATAGCATCGCGCCCTCCACCAAGATGGCACCTCTCACCTGCCCAACAGGGCCTTGTGTGTCTGACGCATTCTTCTTTTTTTCTGCAGACTTCTGGAACTAGTCTGCCTGCATGTGGCAGCCTATGGGTGCCTCCCAGCACCTGAGTTTACATCTCCTCAGTTAAACATCTGACCTACCAGATTCTAAATTCTACCTCCTAATTCTGAATTCTGCATCTGATCAACCCAGCTTGAGTCAGTTGCTCACCAGGACTGGGGACAGAGTCACATATTATGCACACAGTTTCGGGGATACATACCTTGGGGGCAGACTGAGGGGGTAGGTAGACACTCCTGAGTTGAAAGGAGGAAAAGGGATACCGAAGCGAGAGATTTAAAAAAAGCAAACCAGCAAAATCATAAAGATAAGAATGCTCATGACACATGGGCTAAGTGTGGCCAAGGGCTACCGGAGATACAGTCAGATGTGTGGGTGAGGAGTCAATGTGCCAGCTTAAAGAATTTGGGCTTTATCCCATAGGCAGTGAAAGACAGTGAATGCTTTTGAGTAAAGAGGTGTCATGGCATTTTAGGAACATAAATCTGATGTTTGCAATCAGTGATTTTAGAGAGAGAGAAAAAGCCAGAATCAGGAGGGACCGACATCTTCCCAACCTTGTCTCCTGCCCACAGGCACAGGGTCAGGCAGAGGCACTGCCCGAATCATCTGTGTTGAATTCAGTTAAGAACTGATCTGAATCAGCCACTGCTCTTTGTCTTGGAAGACAAGACAGAAAGAAGAGAAAGACTGTAAAACCCAAATTGTATCTAGTTGGGAAAAAAATGCAAATGTCAGAAACTTTGTAGAGCAAGCCCTAAACAGTGGAACGAGGATGGCATTTGCTCCTCTCTGCCAGCCCCAGCCGCATTTCTAGGAGCTTATCAGAGCAAGACTTTAGCCACCATTCATTCAGCTCACCTAAGGGGTGCCTGCCAGGGCGCAGACAGGAAACTTCCAGGTAACCTTTATCAGGCATCGTATCTGTGGGCTTTGGCACACCCAAGGAGCCGAGAGGTACATCTGGTTTCTTTAGAAAAGTCACTGTAATTCTTAGTGTTAGCCTGCCACCCTTAGCATTTCAGGGGACTAAAGAAGGGGCTGCATCTTATCCTCAGCTAGTCAAGAAGCAAAGTGTTCTTAGCGCGTGGTGGTTTGCCTCCGTGACCATGTGGCTCCTGTGGCCGTGCAAGCAGTGTACCTGTGCGCTTACCTCCTGTAAGGGTCGCTTGACCGTGTGTGTGCATGTAGGAGCTGGCTCTAGACCACGTGTTCGGCTACAGAGGGTTCGACTGCCGCAATAACCTGCACTACCTTAACGACGGGGCGGACATCATCTTCCACACGGCGGCGGCTGGCGTCGTCCAGAACCTTTCCACAGGTAACGGAGAAAGAAACCACCTTCGGGACCCAAGTTTTTTCTTTTAGCCCTTTTATCTACTTTCCTACTCTTCAGGTACCCAAAAGCTGAAGCATTTTCCTTTGCTGTAAATCTGTTCCGCTCAATTCCAGCCCGGTAGCACTTGGTCCTGGGAGTACCCAGAGCCCTCTTTCTCCCTGGCCTGGGCCCGGCCTTACCTTGTGGAAGGTCCTGGAAGGAGGTGTGGTGTTGACTCAGCTCTTCTGAGGCCCCCATGGAGAGAAGCCAGAGAGAGGGTGTGAGGGGTGGAGAAATTCTTCAGAGGAGACTGTAACCAAGAACAAAGCATAGGAAACTTTTCTCATTAGTTGTTAACAATGACCCATTTTTTAGGTTTGTTTGTTTTCACTATTTAGCCGCATTTACAATGAGAATGAAAACAATTAAATAAAAGTACCCAAACCACATGATGACATAAGGTAAAAAATAAACATTTCAAACAAAAAGAAGCATTCATACAGTAGTAACATTCATCGGGTGTTGGGCAGATGGTGGGGGACGAGGGGAGGGGTATATTCACACCTAATGGGTGCAGTGTGCACCGTCTGGGGGATGGACACGGTTGAAGCTCTGACTCAGGTGGGGCAAAGGCAAAATATGTAACCTAAACATTTGTACCCAAGTAATATGCTCAAATAAAAAAAAAAAGCAGCATTCAGAAGTTAACAGACACCCCTATCTTTATCACCAGATGTAAACATGTTAGCATTTTGCCTCATTTACTTCGTATCTTAAATAACCTTTTTCAAATTTTTATGTTCCTTCCCAGTTCTGTAGGAAGGAACATAAAATTGCCTAGTCATACATGAATTTAGACAGCGAAATCGCTGGGCACATAACGATTTGTGTCTTTTGCGGGAGGAGGGCCTTGAAATTGTCTATATGTTTGCTTGGTTTTCTTGTCATGTATTATCATTTTGGTAGCAATGTGCTCTTTTGTGTGTGTATCAGTGCCATCATCCGCCTCTCGGTTCTTGGGCACTAGGGTGGGTTTAAAGTGGCCACGTAGGAAGTCAACAAACCCATTAGCTACAAGAGGTGATGAAGCGCTTCCTCCCCTTTCCTCCACTTCCTGTGACACGTGGTGAGTTAGCGCTCTTGAGGGTAAGCCATTGCCCGTGCACCTGGTGGATTGGGAAGGGAAGCCCTGGGTACTGCTCATTTCACGTGAGTAAGTGGAGCCATTTTGCTGCGTGAAGCATCGTCTCTGAGCCCCGCCCCCACCCTGCCCAGAGGCAGGCCTGAAGCAGTCACCAGTCTTGTGCTGTGGGGAGGAGGAAGCCTTGACTTTCATCATTTCAGACTCTGAAATCCTCTGCTCTTGGACTGTGCTCTGGACCCTCACCGGGCAACAGGAAGGATTGAGGTGGACCTTGAATGTATTAGATAACAGACACCAGCTTTTCTTCTCCCGGACCTAGAAGAGAACACATACATTTTAAAAAATGGTCTTCCCTCTCCTCCAAGATGATTCTGAACGTGAGAATGTGGGGGCTTTAAGCTCTCACTTTTGCAAGGAGTTTCCAAAGACTCTGCAGGATGCTTTGGGGTTGCCCTGAAAAGTCTTTAGCTTCCACTCTTCATCCTCCCATGATCTCTCTCTCTCTCCTAGGGAGCCAGAGCTTCTACCTGGAGCACACAGATGACATCCTCTGCCTCACAGTGAACCAGCACCCCAAGTACAGAAATGTGGTGGCCACCAGCCAGATAGGTAGGAGGGCCTCGCAGCAGCTGAGGCTGTCCTGGCTGAGCAGGGACACTGATTTAGCAGCAGTGACTGGGAGAGGGAGGGGCGGTCGCTGATGTCCACCCTGTGGTGGGGATTTGTCGAGCCCTGACTATATCTGTGGTGCCTGAGTTGATGCATCCAGTGATTGGTGATTCTGAGGGACCACGAAGTCAGACCAAAACCCAATGGTCCAAATAAATGGACACCCCATCCCTGTGGACTCGCGAGAATAACTTCTCAGACCCCAGGTGTCAAGCGCAGAACCCTATGTCCTAAAGCCTGGTGAGGGTGCTTGGCAGGGGCAGATTGCAGTCAATGTGCCTGGCCTTTCTGTGCCCTGGAAACTGCCGATGACAAATGTGAACTGGTTCACATTTACGAAGAGTCTGTTCATTTGTCTGTTTTTACTTTGTCATTTCAAGGACAGTTTTTACCGAAGTACCTCACTGCTTGTTTTCATTGAACCCATGCCCATTTTTCAATTTCATTTGGAACTTTCTGATGTTGGTGTTAAGTGCTTCACTGTTAGCAACGTGACTTATCTTAGCTATTGTTTTCCCTTGACGCTTCCTCATTGCCATTGCACACCCAATGCAGGTGATATCACCGAAACCCCAGGTAAGGCTGTGCCATCCGTGAGTAGCTCGAATCTGTACGGCAAAACCATGTCCACGTGTCATGCTTACTGATTGTATCTGGCTGAAGTGCAGATACAAATCACTGACCGCACCAGTTTCCTTTGTATAAAATCTTCCACAAGTGTGTATGTGTTGGACATAAACATCTGTAGGGCTCTGCCTTTAAAAGCAAGTTTCCTGTAGCCTTTCTCCTCTGGTCAGGTCAGACTCTAGGTCTCTGATGCCCAGTAACTGTAACGTACCTAAACACTTTTTGTTGTTGTTGTTGAGACAGAGTGTCACTCTGTTGCCCCAGCTAGAGTGCCATGGCGTCAGCTCACAGCAACCTCAAACTCCTGGGCTCAAGCGATCCTCCTGCCTCAGCCTCCCAAGTAGCTGGGACTACAGACATGCGCCACCATGCCCGGCCAATTTTTTCTATATATTTTTAGTTGTCCGATTAATTTCTTTCTATTTTTAGTAGAGACGGGGTCTCGCTCTTGCTCAGGGTGGTCTCAAATCTTGAGCTCAAACAATCCGCCCGCCTCGGCCTCCCAGAGAGCTAGGATTAGAGGCGTGAGCCACCGTGCCCGGCCTAAACACTTGTTTTAAAAAGGCTTTTAAGTGTTGGCTCCACTGTTCTTCAGCCTTGGTTCTCTGTCATGCCTCCCCGCTCAGGAACAACACCTTCCATCCACATATGGGACGCCATGACCAAACACACCCTCTCCATGCTGCGGTGCTTCCACTCCAAGGGGGTGAATTACGTCAACTTCAGTGCAACTGGAAAGCTCCTGGTGTCAGTGGGCGTGGACCCTGAGCACACCATCACTGTCTGGCGATGGCAAGAAGGTAACCCAAGCCGGGCTTTCCGTCCCTCTAGGGGGCTTGCGTGTGATGTGGCCTGGGCTTGAACCCAGATTGGCCTCGCTCCAAAGCCTGCCAGGGGCACTGCTGCCGGGTAAGCAGAACCAGGGCGCTGGGGTCCTGGAGCCTCTTACCAGATGCTGCCACGTCCCTCGGCCCCTTAGCCAGGAGAATGCGGGCCAGGGAATGCTGGGCCTTCAGGGAAGGGCCTTTGGGCACTTTGGGGAAGTGTCCCGATGGTGGCAGAAGGCAGCATCCCCACCTCCTGTTTCTGTCTTAACCCCCTTCCTACCCAACCTTCCTTGTCTTCAGTGCTCATTCTGGTGGGCCCAGGATCCTGCTACAGCCTTATCACCTTGGGCGCTTTATTGAGGAATCTGGGGGATGTTATTACCATAACCTCAGAAGCTATTAAAAACTTTTTTTTTTTTTTTAACAATTTTAACACTTTCGAAATGGGGATTCATTTTACAATCAAGGTTTACATTTCCTATAGCAAGATTTCTTTCTCATCCTCCCCAACACGTGCGTGTGTGTGCGAGCACATACATAGACAGGCGAGGTGCTACTATAATAAATGTGTGGTCATCTTAGAATTAAAGATGTGCAATCTTCTGAGTATGTTCTCGGGTTGGGTACCGCTCCGACCGAAGCAGATCCAATTAGTTAGGACATTAATGAGGTCTGTCTCCAGCTGGGCAGCGTGTATCTGGGACATGCTGAGCCAGGCAAGCACGGAGGCGGCACTTCTCCAATCCAGGGCTCTAGAGTCCCATTATCCGCTCACTTCCATGGAGGGGGTGTGAGTGGAGGCTGTAAAGAGATGAGCACAGTGGGAGGAGAGTTCCAAGCCCCCATGTGAGCCCCCACGTGAGGAAAAGAGGCTGCTGACTCGCAGACATTTGAGACTCGCTCATCACATTCCATCTGGAGCCGGCCGGATCCATAGTATTTCTAGGAAACCACGTTTTCTCATTTTCTTGTTCACCAGTGTATTGTGTCCAGAGGGCCCCATAGTCAATATCTCAGGGATCATTTCTCATGAGGTCAAGGGGCCAGCTGACCGACCAGACTTGGCCCAGATGAGACATGGAGCGTCTTAAATGATAGATGCAGAGCGTCCTAGAGTCGGAAGACCAGAGAAGTCTTCCTGCCTAGTCAGGATCCATCGCAGGGAGAAACTCCTCCAAGTGCGTTCCTGGCAGGCTGAGTTCCATCCTCTGCTTGAGTACTTGCCGGGATGCAGCTATCATCACTTCAGACGCAGCCCACACGCTGTTGGAAAGCTCTTATTATAAAGCCCTTATGTGGGGCATGACTTGCTTCGTGATTCTCTTCTGAGCTAACTCTAGATCCCTGCAAGAACGCTATCACCCTGGCCCCGTGCGCAGTCTTGTCTTTTTAAGTTCAGGCTCACTTTCCCCACGTCCTCTACCTGTCCTCCAGGTGACACCTGCTCTGGTTTCCCCAGCACAGACTCCTGCTCCCCCGGGGCTCCTTCTGACTTTCCCGGGGGGACTGGAGGAGACAGGCCTTTTAAACGAGCTCCCAGGGAGGAGAAAACCTTGCTCTTTGGTAAAGTTCTCTCGTGGTCTTTGCGGGCGCGGGCCCCAGTCTGTGCAGAGGGTTCTGAGCTGGTGCTGATATCTAAGAGCCTATCACCAGCTACTGCCTGCTCCGAGCTGACTGTGGACATGTCATCTCTTCTCTCTTACTTCTCCAGTGCGGTTTTTCCTCCATTCAAGGCCTGCTTACAGATAAATAGCATGTGTTTGGAGAGGTTTATACACATCTATTCATTACTTGTTTGTTAGAGGATCATTTGGGGGAATGTACGTGTGTGTGTGTGTGTGTGTGTGAGTGTAGGTAGGAATAAGCAAAATAGAACTAAAAATGAACTTGTTACATAAAATGCATGTTGCCAGTTCCTACATAATGTCTGGTGTAATTTGCTTTGAACAGACTAGAAGCCCAGTGCAAAGAGGAAGATTAGTGTCTCCATGATTAGAAGTGTCCATGAGATTAAAACAAGGAAAAAAGCTACAGTGGCTTAGACAAAATGTGCATCGTTAGTTTGCATTTGTCCCATGGCTAGTGAGACTGAGCCTCTTTCCATCTCTTCATTGGCCACTTGCATTGCTGCTTCTGTAATTCACCTGTTCAAATACTTTTTCTGCTGGGGGTGGGAGAGTTGTTTGTCTTTTACTTATGATTTGCAGTTCTTTATAGATTATCATTGTCAATCCTTTGACTCTCATAAGCATTGCAAATGCTTTCTCCCAGTCTGTTGATTGTCTTACCTTGTTTATGGTATCCTTGGAGACCATGGGTTTTAAAACCTCTGTGCCCTAGGTAGTGAGATATCTGTTATAGTAAGTCATGGAGTCCATCTGCAGAGAAGTACAGCTGGGAGAGGTAACCTTCGGGTCTCCCGGGAAAGGGATTTCTTGGGGAATGTCTGGGGGGTGGCTACAGGCCCAGCTACATTAAAAACCATCACCGCCACTGTTCTAGAGAGCCATTATAAAAACAAATAAATGTGAAGCAATGAGAAAGAGGGAAAGAAAAAAAGTGTATATAATAAAGGGAGGGAAGACAATTAGGAAGAAATTGGAGTGAAAAAACATTAAGTTGGAAGAAAAGGTAACAGACTTTAAAAATTAAAAACCCAAGGGTTAAAAATAATGATGACATAAAAAAAGAGTTGAGTTTAAAGTACAGGTTGAAAGAATTGAAGTGGAAGAGATTTTTGAAAAGCTCATGGAGTGATGATGGTACTAGCTAACACAGAGTAGGCGCTGTATCAAGCACTGTGCTGACGGCTTCCCTTACAGAAATTCTTTTAATCCTCACAGCACCTTATGAAATAGGAACCATTATTATCCCCAATTTACAAGTGAGGAAACTGAGGCATAGCGAGCTTAAATAACTTGTCCAAAGTTGTTCTACAAGTAAATGGTGGAGTTGGGGTTTGATTAAGGAAAAGGTTAAATAAAACTCAAGAGATAGTCAAAAATGTAAGTAAGTGGAGTTGAGGAAAAAACTACTAATTAAATATAAAAGATAAAAATTTCGTTTGTTTTTTTTTTTTGAGACAGAGTCTCACTCTGTTGCCTGGGCTAGAGTGAGTGCCGTGGCGTCAGCCTAGCTCACAGCAACCTCACACTCCTGGGCTCAAGCGATCCTACTGCCCCAGCCTCCTGAGTAGCTGGGACTACAGGCATGTGCCACCATGCCCGGCTAATTTTTTTCTATATATTTTTAGTTGTCCGATTAATTTCTTTCTATTTTTAGTAGAGACGGGGTCTCGCTCTTGCTCAGGCTGGTCTCGAACTCCTGAGCTCAAACAATCTGCCCGCCTCGGCCTCCCAGAGAGCTAGGATTACAGGCGTGAGCCACCGCACCCGGCCTAAAAGATAAAAATTTTAAAACCACAAAATAAAAAGGAATATGGGGAACCACAAAATAAAAAAGAACATGGAGAACAACTTTTTGAAGAAAATAAATGCAGAGAATCTTGGAAAGAAAGAAAAATGGAAAGCTGTCTAAAGGAATGAGTCCCAGTGACACGCTGGGAGAGGGTGTGGCGTCCTGTGAGGTGACCCCTGTGTTGATGCCGGAGGCTAGAGCGGGAATGGGGGTGCCCTTAAGCCATTTCGCCTTTTTCTCATATCTGGCAACTTCCATCTCATGGGCCAGCCTTTTCTGCTACATTCGGGATGCCTGGGTGGGGGTTCTGTTAGGGGCACCTGCTGCTCTGGAAACTTCCCAGACACACTCTCTCCCCTACTCTTCCGGGAGCGTCCGAGGGGGAGAGGGTGCGGTTCGAGAAGGAGCGCTGAAGCATGCCCCGAGCCGGCTGGGGTGGAGAGCCATCCCGGCTGAGGCTGCCCTGGCCTGGCCTGGGAAGTGAAAGGCGCCGGCCTCATCCGACTCTGTCACACACACAGGTGCCAAGGTTGCCAGCCGAGGGGGTCACCTGGAGCGCATATTTGTGGTGGAATTTCGCCCCGACTCAGACACGCAGTTCGTATCCGTTGGGGTGAAACACATGAAGTTCTGGACCCTGGCAGGCAGCGCCTTGCTTTACAAGAAAGGGGTCATCGGGTCCTTGGGGGCGGCCAAGATGCAGACGATGCTCTCCGTGGCCTTCGGTGCTGTGAGTTCCAGCAGATGCTTCGCGAAGGGGCCCCTGAAGGCGTGGGCCTGGGGGCGGGCGGCTAGTTTGGCCAAGAAGCTAACAACAAGAAAGACGTTTCCATGTTATCTCCTCCACTGGCTTATTTGTAATCGCTCTTCCCTTTCCTTAGTACAGATGAGTGAGTTGGCTATATTGATTTCCCATTTTTTTTTTTTCCCTTAAAATGTTAACCAGAAAAGATAGGACACCCACCCAGAGCTGCAGGGTCTCTATTCCAGAGGCAGATCCTAACTTGCAAGCCGATCAGACCTGGGGGAGGTGGCCCCAGAGGATGCTGGGAGCGATTTCCATGCTAGATAGAGGTCCTGTTTCTTCCCAGCCCTCTTGTGCCACCGATCTCCCCAACTGCCACCCTCAAGTGGGCTGTGGGGTGCCCTCAGCCAATGCAAGCTCCCCTGGGGACATTTTGGAACGCAATCCTCTCTTGGTCCTCCAGGCATGGATTTATCCACTTCATAGTTAAGCCCCAGGCAAGTTTCCTCCAGGGCTGGAATCCCCTGCCCTGCTGTCCCCTGGGGGTGCCCACAGAAGGGAAGCTCTTGTTAACACAGAGCTATGCTCAGTGGGGAAGGAAGATGCCCAAACCGACTAAATGCAGTGAGTTTCAAAGCCAGGCGACTGCCTTCTATGCTCTGTGGTTTTTCTGCAAATTCGGCCGCTTTCCTTAGCACAGAAGATCAAACTGACTACACGTCTGCTTCTGTAGCTCTGGTTCCTTAATAAAGGAGCGGGTGGCTGGGAAGGGACCCCCTTGGGGGAGTGTTCCTGGTGTGGAAGGTGTCCCTTTGTTTACAGAACAATCTCACTTTCACGGGTGCCATCAACGGAGACGTCTACGTCTGGAAGGACCACTTCCTCATCCGGCTGGTGGCCAAGGCGCACACAGGCCCTGTGTTCACAATGTACACGACCCTTCGCGATGGACTCATAGTGACCGGCGGGAAAGAGCGGCCGTAAGCGGAAGCTCCTCTGGGGACACTTTATCTTTTGTTATCTTCTTGGGAGAAACCGACAAAAGCATCCAACTTGGAGAAAACGCAGATTGTCATTCTTCTACCTTTTTTGCATGAGGGGGATCAGTCTGCCCTCTCTCCAAGAGGGCCCTAGGTGAAACTTCACAAGTAAGAGAGAAGTAAAGAGGTGGTTTCATGGTAGTTTAAAAACCAGAGAGGTATTCTCAAACAAACCACAGTGACTGTTCATAAAATATACTCTTCGTAGCCCTTTGGGGGAATGGAGGAAGGAGGGATGAGAAGAGGGGGCAGGAACTACGTGAAAACAAAGCCTAAAGACAGGACAAACGTTTCTCTTAGTGTTACAGAGAGTCTGATCTTCCAGATTACATCTCCTTTCCTCCCAAGATAGTAGCATTTGAAGGCATTTTAGGAAATCCGCAAGTTCAGGAGGTATGACCGCTCATCAGCAGGGCCTGAGAAGGAGGCCTAGGCCCTGGGGGGGGCCTGTCTTCCTGGGCCCTTGGTGGCCAGGACCCCCCCGACTGGGAGAGAGGAGTGGGGCTCATGGGGAGGTCTCAGGACGAGGCTGACAGCTGAGTGCCTCTCCATCTTTTTCAGGACCAAAGAAGGAGGTGCTGTAAAATTGTGGGACCAGGAGATGAAGCGCTGCCGGGCCTTCCAGCTGGAGACGGGGCAGCTGGTGGAGTGTGTGCGCTCCGTGTGCCGCGGCAAAGTGAGCGCGGGGGCGCCTCGCCATGCCTCCCTGGGCCAGGGAAGGGGGAAGTGTCAGCACCTACCCAGCCAGGATCTTGTCCTATGCTGGTTTGTTTAATCCTTGAAACAAGCCTTCAAGGTGTGAATTATACCGTAGTGGGCAGGTAGCTGAGGAGAATCAGACTGACCGGGATACAACATGTGACTCTCCCAAGAAGAGCCACCTGTGACCTGGTGTGTTCCTTAACATTTCTGTGTCCAGCACATGGGTTTGTTGTGATGATCACATGCTTTGTACGTGGCAGTGCCTTTCATTTTGTCTGGCATGTAGTCATATTCAGGAAACATTAGCTACTACTATTATAGATAATTTTCTTATGAGTCAGAGATATTAAACAGTTTGCCTGTGCCCAGGGTTATGAGGCCAGTGAGGGGGATAGTAAGGGCCACCAAACTGTCTGACTCAAAGCCATTGGTTTTCAACTCATACCTTGCTCAAGTACCAAAAACAACTGTGGAGTTGTTTTGAAATACGGATGTCATCGCATCACATATATGCAACACATTTCATTAAACACAGCTCACTGCAACCTCAGACTCCTGGGCTCAAGCGATCCTCCCACCTCAGCCTCCCAAGTAGCTGGGACTACAGGCATGCGCCACCACACCTGGCTAATTTTTTGGGGGTTAGAGATGGGGTCTTGCTATGTTGCCCAGGCTGATCTCAAACTCCTGGGCTCAAGTGATCCTCTCACCTTGACCTCCCAAAGTGCTAGGATTACAGGCATGAGCCACTATACCCAGACTCTAATATTACTTTAATTATAACAGGGAAAAATTTTAGTGGGAACCAAAGATGGAGAAATAATTGAAGTTGGCGAAAAAAACGCTGCTTCCAACATCCTGATTGATGGACACATGGAAGGAGAGATCTGGGGCCTGGCCACACACCCCTCCAAGGACATCTTCATCTCTGCCAGCAACGACGGCACAGCCCGGATCTGGGACCTGGCTGACAAGGTGAGCTGGGCTCAGATGTCTGTAAGTGGCCACATAGCAATCGGAGCTGAGGGACAAGAGAGGTCCAGTCAGCTCAAGGCAGAGATGGGGGATGGGTCAGCCTCAAGTCAGCAATTAAGTTAGAAGCCTAACAACAAAAGAAGTCCCACTCACACATACCTTATCTATGTATCTTTTACGTGTATATCTATCTATAAATATTTATACTACAGGAATAATCTAATTGAGAATAATTATTCTCTTGTTATGAAAGAACCCACAAAACCTAAAAAAACAGACAAATCATGTCTTCCTTGGATAAGAAGATTAAAAAGGATTTAAAGTGTGAAATGTTGCCAAATGGGCTAACACATTTCCATCAAAATCCCAACAAGGTTTCTCTTAAGGGTTTGGGAAAACAATTTTAAAGTTCATCCAGGGTAAAAATGAAAAATAGCAAGGAATTGTCTGGGGGTGGGGTGGGGAAGAAAGATTAATGTTACCAAGTTACATCTAATGTTAAAAGAAGTACTTAAGTTCTAATAATTAAATACTTGAATGGCTAGTAAATGTTTCAATCATATTTTCAGTGTAAGGGCCAAAGAATAGACACACGAAAGCATAGTGAGGTTGTCATACTCCTAAGTTAATTTTTATAATTATTTACTACATTTATTATTAAGAGTAGCTATCGTTAATTGCATACTATATACCAGATTCTTCATGCACACAATTATTAGTGCTCACAACAACCTTTCAGGACCAGTATTAATATCACCTTTTAGGAATGGGAAAACTGAGAAGTAACTCCCAAACACACCCAGCTAGTATGTGGCAGAGCCAGGATTTAGGATTTGAACTAGCAGAGGCTGAAGCTCAAGCTCATTCCCATAAAGAAGAGCTTGGCCATCTATGGTTCGTGGGCCAAGTTCAGACTGCTGCCTGTTTCGACAAATTAAGCCTCGCTTATTCGTTTAAAGTGTTGTCTGTGGCTGCTTTTGTGCTATAACAGCAGAGTTGAGTAATTGCAACAGAGACCACATGGCCTGCACAGTCTAAGATATTTACTACCTAACCATTTACAGAAAAAGTTTGCCAAACCCTACCCTAAAACGTGTCCCCCAAACTGCTCTAATCAAAACATACTGCCCACCTCAGCTACTCAGGGACATTTACTATAAGAAGCAAAAGATTTGGTGGCCTACCGTGGCAGCAAAGGCAGCCCAACTACTCTGGCCTGGTGCGTGATTTCCCCTGGAGAACAGCTGAGGTGGCCAAGGGCTCAGGGGACTTTACTCTGTATCAATGTAGAAGCTGCTGAACAAGGTGAGCCTGGGCCATGCTGCTAGGTGTGCAGCCTACAGCCCTGACGGGGAGATGGTGGCAATTGGCATGAAGAATGGAGAGTTTGTCATCTTGTTGGTGAACAGCCTGAAAGTTTGGGGGAAAAAGCGAGACCGGAAATCTGCTATCCAAGATATCAGGTACATAATCTGTGCAGGGTGGGAGGAGAAAGGTGAGCATTCTCCCTACCAGTGGTTCCCATTCCAGAAGGGCTAGGGCTGGAATGAAGAACTTAGCTGTGAGAGGTCACTTCCAACAGGCCAACTATGAAAGGATACCTTCTCACACGTTCATTGTCAGACAAGTCTTTGCTAACTTCATGAGCATGGTAAAAACTACTTATAAAATGTCATTCTACAAAAGGCTGCATGCATATATTTCCTTACTTCCGAGGGATCTGATCCAGAGAAATGGTCAAATTCCATAGAATGTCAGAAGCTAGCCACATGTGTCACGAGGAGGATCTCCTTGCCTTTGGGCCTAGAAGGCCCAACGCAGAGCAGCCTTCATACCTGATCAGCCCCAAACAGCCCTCCTCATGGACCATGCTCTTGGATTGCTTTTTCTAGAATCAGCCCAGACAACCGATTCTTAGCTGTCGGTTCTTCTGAACACACAGTTGACTTCTATGACCTCACCCAGGGCACAAATCTGAACCGCATTGGCTACTGCAAAGATATCCCAAGCTTTGTGATTCAGATGGATTTTTCTGCGGATAGCAAATACATTCAGGTATGCTTTGGGTTTACTTATATTTGGGGCAACCAGTAATAATAGTAATAATATCAATGGCTTATATTAATTGAGTCCTTATTAGGTACCTGGCAATGTACTAATTTATTCTTCACTCTTTAAGTACTGTTACTTTCCCCCTACTTTATAAATGTAGAAACAGAGGTTAAGAGGATTTAAGAAGATTGAAGAAATAGAATTTAAAATAGTAAAGAGTTATTCTTCAGTAAGAAAAGCAGGAAACACAAACCCTAATCATCTTTAATTTTCTCATCACTTGTCCTTCAAAGCTTCCTAATTTCTAGTTCTCTGGGCTACGCCTAAGCCCTGTGTCACTTTTTATACTTATTTCCAAACTCTGCTGGGGAGCATGGCCCCCCACACATGGGACCTGGACTCTAGACAGTGGGCCTGGGGAAGTGACCAGCAGGGAGGAATCGAGGAGTCCCCTCCTGGGACTGACAGCTAAAAACAGGATAATTTCTACAGTGCTCAACCAATATGCATTTGTGAGCTGGCCTGGAGTTGGATATTCACTTTGAAGGGAGAGAGGATGTATTCATTCATTCATTCATCAAATATTTATTGAAGCAGGCTAGGCTTTTGTATGACAAGGTGGGACTGGTCCCTGTCTCCTGGAGCTTGCTCTGTAAAGGAGAAGACAAGCATTAAACAATCACAAAATATACCTAAAATTACAAATTGTGATGATGTACTGAAAAGGAAAAGTACAGGGTGCTGCATTTAACCAAGTGCTGAATTTAGATGCACTTCCTCTCCCAGGAAGTGATATTTAAGCTGAGGTCTGTAGGGTGTGTAGGAGTTAGCCAACAAAGAAGGGTGGGAACACTGTTCCAGGCCATCTGTGTGAAAGCCCTGATGTGCAAAGATCTTAGTTCATTCCAGAAGGAAAGCCTGGGGGCTGGGGTAGAGTCCCTGCAGGGAGAGGGGGCAGGAGATAAAGGCAGCAGCCGTTTGCTGGAGAATGTCCTTGACATAGGAACGGTGGTCAGTTTTCCCTAGAAGACTCTCAGAGAATCAAAGGGTCAAGTCCTAGACACTTCAGAAATCGCCTGTCTCAGCTGCTGTGGGAAAACTTGCCTTACCTCTATTGTACCAAAGGTCCTTGGTTCCCTGAGAACAAGGATTCCTGTGTGTCAGAAACATCTGGAGGCTCTGTTAAAACACAGATTACTGGGTCCCACCCTCAAAGTGTCCCATTTGGTAGGCCTGGGCTGGGGCCCACGAATTTGCTTTTCTAACAAGTTTCCAAGGCTGCTGGTCAGGAACCACACTTGGAGAACCACTGCCTTAGGACTTTGGAAAATAGGGAGAAAATGGACGAGAAGATTTTGCTGAGGGCTGGCCACAGGCTTTGCAGCCTGGAGGTGGGCTTGGACTTGGAGAGAAGCCCTGGGGGTGCAGAGGCTGGGCCAGTGTCTGGGAAACAGCACACCAGAGGGGAGTCTTCAGGACTGAGAGAGCAAGTTGATGAACATGGGTTCCCTTCTACCTACAGGTGTCAACCGGAGCCTATAAGCGCCAGGTGCATGAGGTGCCCCTGGGGAAGCAAGTAACAGAAGCCATGGTCATTGACAAGATCACCTGGGCCTCCTGGACAAGGTGACTGGAGGGAAACATTTCTTGAAGAAAAGATCACAAGAGAGTCTCTTGTCCCGGGTTCAGCCTCCATGTTTGTGTATGGCCAGGATCTGAACAAGTTCAGAGATGGAGCTATCTTTACTTTGGGGGTGAAGGTGGGAGGCTTCTTGGCACCAGTTTAGAACACTGGTTTTGGTCTGACCTGGGCTTTTGAAATGCTAAGTCTCCTCTTTTTGTGTAATCTCACCTGTAAGTCCCCAACCCCATCCAGCAAGTTCAAAGGGAAACCATCTCCCATCTCTCGGCCAACCTCGGGTGCACAGCAAGGCCTGCAGTCGCCAGGGCAAGGGATGCGGGAGCCGGAACTGCTGTTTAGCAGGGTGGGAACCTGGTTAACTCAAGGGAAAAGAAACTATCCAACCTGGGAGTTGTAAGGAGGCCCCACCCTTCTCCCCAACATGCGCACATTCATGAGGACCATAGGGAAAAGGGAGAGAATCAAAGATGGGGCTAATTTTTCTTTTTGGAGTTTACGGGACTGAGGAAGAGGGGAACAGTAAGAGCTGGAACAAGTGTACAGAGGGGAAGGGGACAGGGGACAGATGCTTTGTTAGAAGAGGTATGTGACCATACTGAATTATGTAAAATGTCCCTCTCTCCCTCTTATCCCTGGGAGGAGATGACTGGCCGCAGGAAACCACCTCACATGTCTTCCTCCTAACACCTCTTCCTGTTGGAACAGTGTTCTGGGAGATGAAGTCATTGGAATCTGGCCGCGAAATGCAGACAAGGCTGATGTCAACTGCGCATGTGTGACCCATGCTGGCCTGAACATTGTTACAGGAGATGATTTTGGGCTTGTGAAGCTCTTTGATTTCCCATGCATGGAAAAATTTGTGAGTCTTCCTCAGTAACCTCCCCATACTGCCTGTAGGTTCTCTGTTCTGTAGTCTATGGGAGAAGGGGCCATCTCTAGACGGCTCTCTGGGAGATACAGAGGAATCTTGTCCCAGTTCTGTGCACATGTGGCAATGACTAACCTTTTCATCTCCCTCTGGAGGGGTAGTCTTGGAAGCTAGAAGTGAGGGTGGAGGGTGGACAAAGTGGACACAAGCAGGGCGAGCACGAGGCAGGAAAGTCAGCCAAAGCCTGGCTCACAGAGGAGTGCGGACCCGCTGGGAATCCCTGGAGTAACGGGGAGGAGGGGATCTGAGTCCTGGAGGTGGTCTGTGGTTGCTGGGAGGAGCGCGGTCTTTACGTTGTCTCCATTCACTTTCGTTCACAGTCCAAACATAAACGTTACTTTGGTCACTCAGCTCACGTGACGAACATCCGTTTCTCTTACGACGACAAGTATGTGGTCAGCACTGGAGGAGACGACTGCAGGTACTAACCAGATTCATCTGGTTCTGACTCCCCAGGCCTGGCCACCTCTCCCTCCTTACCTTGCATGTCCCTACCCCTCACCCAGGGGTGTGGGGAGGGGCTGATGTGGGGATAGTAAACAGCCGACTCCATGAGTCCTAATGAAGGCACGGACTTGTCAGCTATAAGGTATTTAGTCTGGTGACTCTCAAGCCAGATCTTGATGGGCCTTTGTCCCAACTAGAGCTGTCCTGGGATTGCAGGGGCATGTGCTGGGGAGAAGGGACAGGTGAGTGAGACCCGAGAGGGCTGCCTTCAGTTGTGTATAATCAGGTTAGAATGGAAATTAATCCCTATGTCTTTTAAGAATTCCCAATTGATCACGAGTGTTGGGCATTTATTTAGAGTGTGTGAGGAATGTGACTAGGTCATTCTAACTCATCCAGCTTCTCCACAACTCACACACTTGAACAGCTTTACTGCAGAATGAATATAGGTTTCTGTTCAGCTCAAGCAAAACTCTTGAGAGGATAAAGAAGAAATACATGAATCTTGATATATTTAGTGGTCTGAGTTAGGTTGTGGGAAAGGAATCTATACAGAATGTCAATCCACTTCTCACCTAAAAGCATTGTGTAGGAAATGACCGCAAGGATGCTTTCTCATGGCCTGCCTGGGAGCACCCATCTCCAGCTGCTGTGCCAACCACTTCTGGCACTTAGAGCTCTTGAGATAGTACTGACAGCAGCTCCCTGTGGAATATAAAAACCCATTCAAAGCAGCACCAAATTGTGAAACAAGCTAAGGATAAGATATAAACAAATTGGTCGCTCTAGTGCAGGAGATACAAGGTGACTTATGTTTACTATAAAAGGCTTAGAAGTAACCTTAAAAATGCAGGGCTTCTAGGCTTTTGTAGGCATGGGGGCATACTATGTTCCCTAGCTCTGTGCTAAACACTCAAAAGGGCTCTCCGACTCAAGTGGAGTTGGTAAAACCTTTTCAAAAGTAACAGGAAAGATAGTATGAAGTCAAATTGCCAAAAGTCCTCACTGACCACGTTCAGCACGTTCAAGCTGCTGAAAGAGTGGAACAACCCCCCCCC